CATTAGCACCTCTAGTAATATATTTACTGAGAAAAATGTTGACATGTTCAATACTTATTTTACCCGCTGTAACTGAGAATAACACTCAGGTGGGGAGGAGGACAGATGTAATCTTTGTCTTCAGTCCATCTCAGACCCTTAGTGGCAACTCTTAACCACTTAAGAGTCCTCTGGAGCAGTCTGAACTTTTCTTGAGAGTAAGAGTGATTCTTAGACTTAAGAATTTTGATAACTTGCTTTTACAAATAAGTCTGAGAATAGTAGCAAATCTAAGAAAATTTCAACACTTAAGTCTAAAATCCCACTCTAAGTTTGATAAATATGGGCCCAGGTCCATGTTTTCTACTGTGAAGCATTCTCATGTCTTCTCACCATCAGAAAACTGTTCACTGGTAACATGTGGGATGGACCTTTTCTATTTCAATCTGAAAGATGTTGATGATTTTTCCCTTCCCCTGATCCCTTTATGGTCTTGTTGTTGCTCATGATCCTGGTCCCTTGTGTTGCTTCCTGTTGGTTTTTCTTGTGCAATTAGTAAAACATTTAGTTATTTTTCCATTCACTTATGCAGTGTTTTAACTTGTATTTTGAGTTCCATTACATATTCTATGACCATTGTTGAAAGGTGAAAGTGTGGTYCAGAGTGTGGTGGAGTTGGGTTGTTATTTGGTTGCATGGTGAGGGGGATAGAACCTTTATGATAACAAGCCAGTGTGGTTGGTTTCAGTATGACAGAAAACAAGGGGATCTGTTTGCTTTGGACACCCTGGTTTAGCAGCAGCTGCGTGAAGTTTATTTACTCCATCTCCATTCATAATGGATGATGTCTCTGATGCTCAGAGCTTAATGATTTTCATCTCATCATTAATTATCCTCAGACCCCTCCAACAACAACCCCTTCTCTGTTCCTGCTTCTCACTGTCACCAAAACACAGATTTATTGGTTCAGCTAACATAACAATTGTATCAGTCATTTAATGATTAAAGACACATTTTCATTTTAATCAAGGCTTTAATTTAGTGGCAAAAAGCAGCTGTGTAGAAAGATAAAGCCCAGTGAGGTGGTGAGGTTTTATCAGCAGGAGATCTGAAATGTTTTGCTGCTTCAGGAGCAGCGGTCACAGCAGTACTGTAAAGTACATTAATTAGATATTCCCCGTGCTGCAGGCCTGGAGATAAAGGATGTAATTTAATACAGTGTAATTGAAAGCGAGTGCATTGCCTTCACTGTGTGTTTGTGTTTGTGTGTGTGTGTTGTTCAGGATTACAATGATGAGATCAGACAGGCCCAGCTGCAGGAGCTCACCTACCTAAACGGTGGATCGGAGGATGCCAAGGTGCCGTCGGTCAGGGGCAAGTCCGCCACTCGTGGCAGAGGGACACCTGTTCCAGGACCCCCCAGGTAACCTGCCTGGAAATGGGCACCTGTATGAATGAGCACTTCATCCAGCTGAGAAATTTCTTTACATAACAGGTTGACAATGCTTYATTTTCAATAAAAATAGAAAATTATGCTATCTACTTATTCTATGAAGAAACATAAATCAATACAAAGTAAATTAGACATGAGTTTTTACGATGTAAAAACAAGTGTGCATTGTCATGTAGCATGGCTTTGCCTGCAGCAGTGCACTTGTAGAATGA